CGGTGTTGATGAATGTGCGAGGTACAAGGAGCATGTTGGAGATGGCTAAAAACATGAGTCATTTACAAGTAATTATTTATTAATTAAATATTTAAACAAATTAATCCTTTGATTTATTATATTTATTTATTCTGTAATTTTGCTACAATATTTATTCTTTTTTTTATAAAAGTTATTTTGTCATGTTTCATCGGCATATTGTCATGTACATGAAAGGATCATATATGAGAAAGCTTATGATCCTCCTGCGGATCCTGGAAAAATTGTTGAAATATGTGAAAATTTGAGTGAAGCTGATCTTTCTGCATTTACGCATAAGTAAGTTTTATTTTTAAAGTTTATTTAATAATATAACTATAACAATAACTAAATAATTTTAATTTTAAGGATTTTAGATAATTATCCAAACACTTATTGTTTTTCTAAAGCATTATCTGAAGGATTGGTCAATAAGGAATTAAACAAATTGCCAATTATTCTACTGAGACCTTCATTAGGTAATAAAATTAACAAAAACACAAGAAATCCACTTAAACCACTTAAAGTGTGCAATTTGTGGTTTTTTCTTATTACTTTTATTGTTTTAGTTATTCCGGCATTGAAAGATCCTATACCAGGTTGGACTGATACAATAAATGGTTCCATAGGTTTCCAAATCGCAGCAGGAAAAGGCATCCTGCGCACTCTCTACGCGGATGTAACAAGATACCCAGATTTGATACCGGTCGATATTACAGTCAACGCGTTTATATGCGCTGCTTACGATTTCCTGCGGTGAGTAGAACATTTGTAGCATTCACGCATAGATGGCAGGAGGTGTTCCTGCAACAGCAGGATTTTAAGAAATAATTTTAGAGAAATTTACGTTTTTATGATATATTATAAATATTTGAGTGTTCAAAATAACAGTTTTATGTACTACTACACCAAAATTAGTTTTAAACACGTTTTTAATCATAATTATTAAAAGACAAAAGTTTTTTTAAAAGATTAACTTATATTTCATTAATTTATTCAATAAATTACACTTACTAAACTTCATAATGAAATAATTTTTACTCACAAGTGTATAAAACATTATTTTTCACAAGTATGACAGTAAAATTATCTTTAATTTAACTTTTATTAATATTTTTGCATTAAACTATAACTTTTTCTTTTTTAATTTACTTTTGTTTTAATTTCAGGCATCCTGAAAATAAAAGACCAAGAAATATCTACAATTTAACAACGTCTGACCAATATAAAGTCTCTTGGTATGACATAATTTACATCGGTAGGGATGTCATCCTTAATTCAATTCCTTTAAACTGGGTGGTGTGGTACCCGGGTGGGAGTATTAAAGGAACTAGATTTCAACACGATTGTACATTTTTTATTCAACATGTCCTGCCGTCAATTATTGTCGATAGCATTTTATGGATATTTAATCGACCACCAATGTAATGAATTTTTAAATCAATTTTTCTATAATTGGAATTGGTGACATTTCAATATTTCAAATTTTTTATAGATTATTACCGATTTATAGAAGGATACAAAAAGGATTTGAAATTTTAAAGTTTTATAATGGAAAACAATGGGATTTTAGTAATAAAGAATCGAGAACAGCGATTGATAGTTTAAATCTTTATGAGAAGCAAAAATATAACTTTCATATCACTAAATTTGATTATAAGGAATATTTTAGGGATTGTACTCTTTGTGCGAGGAGGTATATTTTAAAGGAAAGCGATGAGAGTATACCAAGGGCAAGGAAACATATGAAAATGTAAGTAACTTCACAAAAATTAAAAAGTTTTCACATTAATTAAAGTAAAAATCAAAAATTATCATTGTGTCTTTGATTTTTATTCAGACGACTTACATTAAAATTATATTATAAAAAAATAAATTTTTTTCATTCTTTATAAAAATATGTTTATTTTATACTCATTTATTATTTTTAGGATGTATTACGTGGACAAAATTGTCGTGACATTTATGTTATTTTGTGTCATTACGATGCTATCAAAGTACATCTATAGGATACTATAATAGCCAAAGAAAACAAAAATCAAAACAAAAATAATTAAATCAATGACAACGTTTGTTCAACCTTTACCAGGATAATTCTCCTGGAATATATTTATCGATCAGGCTCTCATAGTATGGCCAAAGTGCTTCAATGTCTGGTATTTTTGTACTTTTAGTGTACAAATCATATTTGCTAAAAAATAATTTGAATTAATATCTTATATATCATTTTAAATTGTATATGTTATGAATAGCGGTCTAAAAGTAAGAAATATTGATTTATTGTATTAATTATGCAATAACTTTTGAACCAATTATTGTATTGTTATTTATTTTTTAGAAATTTATTTTGTTTTAAATTCTTAATCAAAATGCATTTACCAAATATTGATAGTATGATTAATTTGCATTTGAATTTTTCCGTAAGTAGATATTCTCAAAGAATATAACTTGATTTTTAAAAATCAATAAAAATTAAATTCATGAACATTTTTAATAAATATTTAATGTAATTGATGTAGAATTTAATGTAGAATCAGTTTCTTAAAAATTTATGACTCTGCCTCAAACCGTTCAAAAGTCATTTAATATTTAGTCAAACAAATCACAATTTTGTCACTTTTAGACCGTTATTCATAACATATGAATATTCAATGTACAATAAATGTAAAATTAAACTTACTTAAACTTAAGCACCCATTCCTTCATCTCCTCGTCTTTTTCATTTGTCAAATGTTGATAATCACCTCCAGTATGCCACGGATAAAAACTATGAAATCTTATCATAGCCAACGCTTCTTTCGGTAGAGTAGACTTGTTATGCTTCAACATATGATACAAGTACTCATCATGGCCCCAGGATAACAAAACATTTTCCAAACCACAGTTTTCCTTATACATTCCTAATTTGGTACTATTAACCAAAATAGAAAAATAAAAAAATTAATAGTAATAAAAATGATTTTTAAATTAAAATAA